TGCAATCGATTATGTATTTTAATCAATACTCAATGAAATTTATTTTTGTGCACAATATTTTGCATATAAATGCATTATGTCCCCTAAAAAATAACTCTCCATGTTAATAATTGATTCTGTCTTTTTGAAGTTCTAAACTAATAATTCACATTTTGATAGTTATCACCGCTCGGCCACACTATTTACAGGCGATCGATCATAACCATAAAATAGCCGCCCCGCCCTGACAAAAATACATTAGTCGAGTTCATCTAAACTTACTGGACATGTGGATTTTTCAGAAGTTCATTGACTTCAAAAGATGTTTGTCAAAATCGTAATTCATATAATAAAATGGTTTTTCATTGTTTCACCTCAGTAGTTGATCTCCTTCCTGAAAACTCGTTTATTTACCTAGAGTACGTAGACGACCGTGTTCCGTCCAGTTATGGTGGACCTAGAAATACCTCAGACGAGACTACAGAAGCTTCAGAATTGGCGCTTACCACCAAATGCTTAGTGTTACCTCAGGACTAGTTCGCATCAGCTCATAGTTCGACTACAGGAAGTGAAGTAGTTTAGTACGTTACCGCAACTAGCCTTGACAGTCTCATTAGACCTTGTTGATTTGAAGGGATGACGAAACGTTCTCTCGAACACATGAGGTTCACTCTGCGCCTCTGGAAGCTTACGAAACATGTTTGTCCGTTCATGAAAAAACTGAGACACTGCTCGGTAATTTTGGTTAGGACAAGGAGTTTTTGAAGGTATAAAATGTGCTATAGTTTTTAGACCTTGCTCATGCATACTTTTGAAGCGTTGATTACGCATGGTGAACCTATTACGTGACTACTGTTGAATTTAGATATAGGGGTGTGGTGTATGCTATTTACATAGACAGACATAAGTGGTATGCAACACCGATCGGAAGTGGAAAATGTGCCCGTAGAATGTTGAGATGACCGAATCGAAGCGAGTGGAAACAGTGTAATCACTATGACAATGAAGGAATGATGAAGTTTGAGACAATGGATGGAGAATTTTCAAATGAAGTACTGAACGTATCGTCCTTACGTCTGATGAAAGTACTCTGTAATTTTACATTAAAATACAACCGGATGTCCCTCACTTGTGTTTTCGTTCACAACAGGGGTACTAGGTATATTTGATCAGCCTATGATGTAGACTTTGATAAACGGTGGTTAGAATCGCGATGCATGAGTAGGTAACGCTTATCACGACGACCACTTTACCAGAATGGCTGATATTTATGCGATACCTTTTTTTATGCTGTTCATTTCCATTCTCCACGGTGGTGCAAAGTTAGGTAGTTTGGGTTTAAGAGGTCATTTAGGCGGCTTTGGTAAAGTTTGGTTTCGTGTATCAAGCTACTTACAATTTGTTAGTAACTGATCTTGTGCACAATGAATTCTATTTTCGTTGACATGATATTTTTTGCATTGAGAGACAAGTTTTTGTATTAGTCGGTTGACATAATAAGTGCTGACAAACTGAATTCACAGTCTACAGAATTTTAAAAAATAACGAAAAAAACGATAATCATTATCTAAATATTTGCTTGGTTCACGCGTAAACGCAAGTTGCATTGAAAAATTCGTAAATAATTTTGAATGAACATTTAAAAAACGCAAAAAGTCTAAAAACTTTTTCTAAAAATTGGTCACTTCTCACAAGAAATAACATTTGAATATCTATTAGTGTAAATAATAGACATTTTTGGCAGAATAACTTCAAGAGTTGGCCACAAAGTGTATTCATATATCTACGTTCATTCAGAAACTATTATAATTGTATAAAAAAAATCGCTGAAAATATAAACAAGAAAAAATACACGGTAAGCGATAAGCATTTTTAAATTCTTTATTAAGAATCCTTTCCCGAGATAAATGATGATTTATATTGTTGCTTAAGTTTTTCTGTGTTGGTATAATCCAAACTGTCCACTGGGTTGGACGAGGAATCTGTTCAAGTTTGAAGGCAGAAAAAGAACAAGGAAAGTGATAAACAGGATGACGATGATGTAAGTAAATGTGATTGCTTTTGTGATCGAAGATTAGAAAGTGGATTAAACAAACTTAGATATTGATTTGTAGAGAGTGTTAGATTCGAAGTGAGTTCCTAATATAAAGTAGAGAAGACGTGATTGGTTCTAAAATAACAGTCGGATTTCTCCTTTTAATAAATGGACACTTATTTTCTCAGGACGAACACTAAACGATTTATCTGCGTATATGATTCATTCGCTCTATACTTGATACTACACTTCAACGCAACTGAAATCAAGAACACGTGATTCGCCCGACTCGAACGTGTATGGGTCAACATTCAACAACCGACAATATGATAATAAGGGGTACGAAAATCTATATTACACATCCAATACTTATCAAACTATCTACCAGTCTAAGCAAACAGCCTATAACTATTTCTCTCGCCCATACAAAAGGATGATTCTAACGATATGTAGAACGATGAATATGTCATCAGTGATGGTATCAGACAGTGAATGCACAATCTGGTAAATTGAATGAACCTAAGAATGTTAATTACTGGATATTTACATAATGATCCATGGGTATCGTGTTCGCTACCAGACTCAAAGATCCTAGTTAGGTCTCAAACGAATTTGTGAGTCTCCACTACTGAGAAGTAATACACTCCTTAGTTATCAATACGTTTATAACTGGTGCCGGTCAGTGATGAAACTTAATTTTAAATTTAATATGATCGTTTGTTCTTAGTTGGCTTCATGAAATGTCTCCAGTTAAACAAGCATTGATAACCAAAAAATTCCTGAAAAGTTGTTTAGTCCAAGAAATATGACTCTGTGGCTTGGAAAACCTGGTTTCGACCCTTGGTAGGTTTGTGGACACACATTGATGAGGATTTCGACACTATAACGAAATATTCGTCGTGTTTTCTGGTTTTTAATAAATATCTAGCTAATGTTAATTCATCATATAAAGTACAAATTAAACAATCTCCGCAAATTTACTATGTTAGCAATGAACCTTTTTAACTAGTATGATGATAAAAACTTAAATGTAGGTTGTTTGCAATTTACCAGCTCCCCACTCACCCAGTTTCAAAATGACAGAGGAACGTCTTAAAACTTAAGAGAATTAACTATTTCCGTAAATTGTTGTGGATCGCAGTACAATTTGCGCTACCACATCAAAGTAGAAATAAACTAATATATCCAGGAAATTATTAACTATGTTCAGTTCAAAAGAGTAACAGTGAAAAATCTGGATGTACAGAGGTCGAGTTTCTGCTGCATAAAATTTACTATACTTCTGCTATAAAGTGTAATTACTGAGTCCTGCTGTTAGCTTCAACGAGAAGCCACATGGGTTAAAACACATGTCTACCATATAGGTTTGAATGGTTTCAGTACACAACATCATATACATTAACGGTTAGTAGATCCTATTGGTGATTAGCAAGTTAAAAACAACCTTGTTGCTGTTTGATTTGGAGTCAAAAATATTATATCATAAATCATAGCTTTAACATTCCAATACTAGTATATGATGAAAATGTGTGTTTGAAGCTTCGAACTAGATCAGTTATAAGGTTTAGACGGAATTCTCGCAACTACTAAGCTGTTATAGAATGTCAGTTTTAGCTTAAACTACTTCAGTAACATTTTTGGCCACTATGTCAGATGAGATAAATCTGAATCTCCCAACGGCTCAAAACCAGGTGCCCAAACATTTTGGTGGTCTATCATCAAGGGGAAACTTGGAACTAAGACTTCTCGCCAATTGCCTCCAACTGAATAGAACGGAAAGGATAGGAACACGGGGAAATCTAACTAATGAAAACAAAAAGCACAGGTTGTTGCTAAAGAGCCGTTGGTGAAGGGCAAATTTGAATACTCCTTTGTTTTCTATTAAACCGTTGCTGCCACCTTGACGTGGTGGTCGGACTTGCCTATCGTGATGAACCAATCGAGCTATACTGGCTGAAACAATTGTTCCTCAAGGTCCTACCATGCCAGACAGGTCGGTTAAAGAGCGCTAAGACTAAAAGCAGCAAACCCGAGGTCTGAGGGCGGAGTCATACTGCTGACTGTACAGAGATGTGACGACAGTAAGGTGTTTCCTTCAGACAACCAGCATAACAACGATGCTGCCCTCACACAAAGAAGAATGGGGTTAGGAAATGTCGACCCTAAAAATGCACACCTCACCTTATCCCACGGTAAGGTCTCAACAAGTACGAAGCTAACACGAAAATTACTCACAGAAAGGTCATGTGTGACCGACCCCAAGCAGTCGTCTCTTTAGTACTACTGTCACTCTTAGGTCACTAAGACCACCTTGAATCCGATTTCCTTTTCAGGTACGTTTAAAAGAACCCTTCCACTGTGTGAGCAACCGGGATATGATAACCGCCCTCATAACTCAAACAGCACTCAAGACTGACTGGTACCTAAATATGAGTCATGCACAAGGTGTAACCTTGACTACTTAGCCAATCGATCGGACATTGTGATCGTGTGATTACCTCAGTCACAGCTTATACTAGTCTTTGTAAATTAGTCTTATATGATGGTCCAAGTTCGCTTTGAATGTTGGCGATACCACAAGATTCGTTCAGAAGAATTCAATGAACCATGAATCGATGTAAAAAGTGTCTTCAGAACCAAACTTTTAAACAGTATTTTCAGGAATTTTTGGAGATATTTTCGCATATCAGAAGTCCTACAATGAAGGTATTGTGTCTTAATACGAGGTTCGTTTCCAGTACACAGTAAGTCAATTGAAAGTGATAAATCGAACAGCACTTGCAAGAGATAAGTTTTGGTTCTTGTTAACTAATGCTGCATACTAGTTAAGGGATTCACTTAATAAATAAACCTAGTCGGAACATAGTCAGACATAGCCAACAGTTTATGAAAGCGATAATTTAACTCTGAGTAATTCATTTCACAACATTATTTCCGTTTGTCTGTAAAGACCAAAGTCCTAGATATGTAAAAAGCTTTATTAGTAGCTGAATTACGGTCGTGGTAAAATGCTAAACCAGAATGTTGGTCATCGACCGTATGATAATTCTAGTATGGAATATATTACTAAATATCCGTATGATGTTGGATTAACCGGAAAAATCACTCAGTTGTAATGAAGTGATAGAAATAATTTCAACGGATATAAATTAAAGGCAGATGGAGTGATATTTCGTTGAAACGTTTGTTGCATTATAGAATTAGAATTACACTTCAGGATTAGATTCAGGGTATAAATAAACCAACCGCAGTCATAAGCCCGAACCTTAACGTCTAAGGAATTATAGCTGACTCCAAAAAGCTCAATACTCATGTAAAAACTATATATTCTTAGTTATTCATTGTTTCTACCATAAACAACTCAGATGTATTGCTTCCTGATTGACGATAAGAAGCAAATGGTTATCGCGATCGCTTTAGAAGCAACTTCAATTCGGAACAAAGATTTAGATTTCTCGTGACTAGTTAAGACTAGTGTTAAAGAAAAACGGTTTGCTCTTCGAACATATCCAGACAGCCTCAAAGGGTAAGAATAAGTGAAGTGACCTACCCAGAATGCTATCTTTTTCTAAAAATTTAGTAGGCTTGATTTACCAATTAGCACTTCAGTACTAATTCGAAAGCATTAGATTTGGTTTTGTTCAAAACATATTTTGGGCACTAACATATAACCAATGGTTAACCATTGGTTACATATTTATTCATTGGTAGGGGAACTCATTTTGTTGAGTACCTTCACAAAACGTGCAAAGCAACCGCAAAATAAAAACCCGAATGAATAACAATATATGAGTTGATCGACCGATTAGTACTAAAAAAAGGACGTCTACGAGTCAGCTGACTCACTTGTATGGCTTCCTAAACCATGGTGACAATTTGGTTGCATACTCTTTTCCAAACCCTGAAGGTACTGATTTTCTAGCTCTTCATTGATAACAGATGTATCTTTATTTTGACCGTGCACATTGTCGATGTTTTCTCCGATTACTAGTTTTCCTTTATGGTCACGTACAGGATTTCCTCCCATTAATTTTAAGAACTTTATGTTTCGATCTTTAGAACCCAAGTCAGCGTGTTCCCAGTCATTTGGAGATCGTACATCTGTTAGTTTAAAGTCACCTTGCCCATCATTTTCCATATTAGCAATAGCCTAACACCATAGAGGATGCTTCGACCCTACTTGGACCTTCGTTACATGTTACCGCTGTCCACTATCCAATATCCAGATGCAGATTTCACAGTTATGTAGTAAAGACAGAAGGTTTACGGTCCTTATTAGTCTTTTTCTACTAAGCTTCTGTGAGTGTCTTTTCCTGTATTTCTTTGAAAGCCTACACAGCTTATTCTAGCTTCCGGGCAAGCCAATTTATTCATTCTTCTTAAGTCATATTTTGACATTTAGTTTCATTTTGGAAAGGACAGGAGGCTTGATGGCCTGTGTTAGTCCTGGCAATGGTGGTCTCTCCGTTGATCCAACTTTATTTTGAAAGAGTCGACGGATGGAGCCTCAACCACGTGCTGAGTTAATGGATTCCACTCGTTGATGATTAGATGAGAAAGTCGGTAGTCAACTGACAAGTAGTTTGTTCTGGGCTTGTGAAATTTTTTGGAGTGTCCTCTTAAATTCTCTGTTTTGGAAGACAAGAAAAATGAGGGCATATCAGGTGCAAATTTATCACTAAGCAATTTGAAAACTGTAATCAAGTCGCCTCTAGTTCTGCGATATGACAACGGGGAAAGGTTCAGCTTGGCCAGTCGAGATTCATACGGAAGCTTCGCTATTCCGGGAACCAGCTTAGTCGCCGTTCTCTGAACCTTTTCCAGAAGCTCACTGTCTTTTTTAAAGCAGGAGCCAGCCGCTTGTATGCAGTACTCAAGTTTAAGACGAACGAACACTGTATACAAAGTCAAAAACGTCTTAGTGTCGACATGACTAAAAGCCCTACGTATTGACCATAACGTTCTAAAACTTTTGGCGGCTACTGTACGGCAGTGTGCAGTAGTCTTTAAGTCTTGACTAACGATAACTCCTAAGTCATTATATGTCTGGACGACAGGTAGCTCAGTGTTATTCATCGTGTATGTATCTGTGCCTTGATGACCGATATGCATCACAACACACTTGGAAGTATTTATCGGCAACTGCCATGTTTGAGACCATTCAGATAACTTCTTCAGGTCATTTTGAAGTTCTAAGCTATCACTCTTACATCGTATCGTTCTCCATATCTTGACATCGTCAGCATATAGCAAGACCGATGATGATAGGAGACAAGGAAGGTCATTTACATACAAGAGGAATAGCACTGGCCCCAAAACTGTACCCTGGGGCACTCCACTAAGCACAGTTTCCCAGCTAGATAACTTTGAGTTCACCCTTACTCTTTGTTGACGCCCAACTAAGAAGTCTTTTATCCACATCAATAAATTACCTCCAATCCCGACATGTCTTAACTTATATAACAGCCGGTTGTGCGGAACTTTATCAAAAGCTTTACTGAAATCAATGAAGGCGACGTCTACAGGTAGCTTTTGGTCCTTAAGAGCACACCAGCTTTCACGAGCCACTAATAAGTTAGTGAGACAAGAATAACCTATTCTGAAGCCATGCTGCTTCTCCGAGAGGATCCGGTTTTTATCGAGATACTTAAACAACTCCTTCCGAATAATCTTTTCTAATATTTTAACAACCACACTAGTTAGGCTAACGGGGCGGTAATTCTCAGGTTTATGTTTCGTACTTGTTTTGAGGACAGGACTTACTGTGGCGCTCTTCTAGTCTTTTGGTAAACGACCCTGCGTTACGGATAGTAAAGCATATACTTATGGGGTTCGCAACGAAGTTAGATAAATCCTTCAGGATTCAATTCATCGAGCACCGTGGATTCACCTATGTCAAGCTTATTTAGCAGACCAAAGACATCGAGTTCTTTAATGGTCACGCCATACAGTGTATGTGTGGGGGGATCTGTATGCGTTGGCGGGAAAGGCGCTTCTACGGTACATACATTGCTAAAGTAGTTCGAGAACACTTGAGCCTTACCAAAGTCGTCCTCCACTAATGATGCGGTAGTGCTATCTCCCCATAGAGCAGGAATATTTCCTCTTCTCTTTGTCCTTTGGTTTATATAGAAATACAAGTGTTTAGGACATTCTATTGATTCCTTAACAATTTTTTCATCGTACAACTTTGTAGATTTACGGAGGGTCGAGGCACAGATATTCCGGACTTTTCTGATGATGAGTATATGACATCTTGTATGTTTGCTTTTCAGAAGTTAGGTCTGGATTGAGCTAACGCGTGATCGTGATTGACAGTTATATGGAAGTCGAGACTTAAAACTGCGTGATCACTTTTACCTGGAGGGGCATGTGATGGAGATTAGCAACGTCATCCCCATAGTGAGTCAATATAAAATCTAGTAGGGATGAATCGGAGTCCGGGTCGTACCTAGTCGCTTCTTCCACATGTTGCACTAGGGCACATGTGATAACCGCATCAACTAGTTCCTGCTCGAAGGAATTTTCTGACGATTGAGTCCGCAGATTTTCCCAGTCTACCATAAGTGCATTAAGGTCCCCTAGGATTAGACATCGACCACTTTGTGACCAAGTATTGAGACTACTTAGCAGGACCTCATTTACCTCACAGCTTGGACTGCGATAGATCTTGTTAATTATTCGCCCAACAGTCTTGACTGTTATTTATATGAGCGTATGTGTGTGCGTTTCTTATCTTGCACATCAAATGTCTGTAGATTTTTTTGGTTCGAATATAAATATCGATTCACGCTTGATTAAATCGAGTTGGCTTGCATGTCTTCACCGTGCATCATTTCATTTCCCTTTACTCCGTTGATCGTCTGTTTGGATAAGTGATTGTGAAAAAAATATATGTATTCGAAAATTCATTCTCGTATTTGACTTATTTAGTTCCGTTATTCCCTAATACGATCCAAATCGATGGTTATATATGACGATTGACGACATATGTGTTTCGACTGCAATCGTTCAATAACAATCATTCATACGATTTGATTGGAGTCAGATCTATGGCCACTAAGGTGGTGCGCCCACCGATGACGAATCCAACGCAGAAAAATGCATCGATGAATAATCTTCTGCACTTCATTCTTTTGGCGAACAAACTCAGTGAGGCCAGCTTAATAGTTAAACAACGCAGGTTTTCACCATATGATCAAATCGGAAAGAGATCACGGCACCACTAAAGTGGCAAGTCTGACTCTGACCTTAGAGCACCCTGCAAATATCGTTATGGTCTGCTGTGTAAACTGTGGTGTACTACGATTAATCCGACATCTTGCTACTACATTTCAGCCAACAGTGCACCAGTTCACATGTTCCTAACTCGTGTGCCATTGTCTCGATAGCTCGTATGGTTAAGATAATTTTCATGTAGAGGGTAACCAGCACTATGCTTTAGTCTGCCAGCTCTGCAAAGTAAGAAATCAAGCAGTTGAAATTCACTACCATACACTTCTGAGGTTAACCATACTTCTAAGATGACAATGACATCCTGGTTTCTGTGTCCATTACTGTTTTGGGCTTTGTCATTTTATTTTTTGGGCTGCAAACAGTTGTATATCACAACTTTAATTCTGTGAAGAACCTTCGCGTCCCACTCAGAGTGGTTCACACCGAACCTTTACAATGTAAAAAACCCTGAGTACGAGGATTTTTCATTGTTCTGGTGGTGCTCATTTATTTCTACCCCTACTGATCGTTTCTTAATGAGATCGATTAGGCTGGGATCCGCACAAACACATATTCTGCGACCGGTCAGTTTGCATGAATTTTTTAGTGTTATGTTTCTGTCTTCAGCAGAAGCAAAAGTAACTTTTAAGAGGCTTCATTTAAAAATCAACATTTTGTCCTATTCTATAAAGTTTGTAAATGCTAACTCAGATGGTCTAAATACTGTCATTGTTTTCTTTCCTGAAGTTTCTCTTCACTTACGTAAAATGACTGACCTGCCGGAGAGGTCCGGCCTGATAAGTTGTGGGGATTTGTTTACTAAAATCTCATCCCTGTAGTCCGATTTGGCGTTAGACGCAAAGGTCTCATTTTGTTTCCCTACTTTTCCGATAACCTTATCAAAAACTTGGGAGAGCCCATTCATTTCTTTGCTGTCACTTCTTGTCGTTCCGGTACGGTTCCGAAAATTCGGTTATGTTTGATGGCTGGCAGTCTTGTCAAGTTATGGCGTACTTTGTTATTAGTACCTCTCCGACAGTAGACCTAATCCCAAAATTTTAGACTTGTCACAATGTGACTACTTATTCTACAAGATCTTACGTGGAAGTCACATCATTTTCTACACTAACTCGCTCTATCGTAATCATCACTAACATATGATGGAAAACACATTTGGGCTGGTGATAGAACGATGTATTTAACACGAATAAAAGAGATAAGTTACAAATGAATGCCCATGCCCGCAAGGCTGAGCCATACCATCCAATTAATTCGATTTCAAATGAATTATCCTGCGTCCACCGTTATTGACCTTACATGTTGAAAGTCTATTTTCCCCATTATCTCATATTCAGCCTCGAGGGTCGTGGTTAGGATCCAGTGTCACTACAGTCTAACCACATGACTGAACTAATTCTAGTTTGTATGATAGTTATTTGTGGATTTGCATGCTTTGTATGTCTCTGTATCAGGGCTGTAAGATTGAAACGATTTTTAATTCAAAACTACTGACTGACTTATTGGTTAGATCAATTCCTTTAATTGGGCGGTTTCATTTAATCAGAAACTAATTTAGCCGAGACTTTATACTCATCTCATGGCGGGATTCACTCCAACGGCAATTCCGTTCAACTGATTGAGTTACTCATTACGGAGGGGTAGAGTTTCTGAGTATCAGTAGATATCACATCATCTGTCGAGAGGTTGGTTGGTTGCAATGTGAATATTTTAAACCGGTAATTCGAGCGCTTAGAGAGGACTGTAATTTCAAGAATAAAAATATGGTAATGTGTCAGAAGACGAAATTGGATGAAAAATAAGGTTAACGGAGATAATAACAAGAGATATGAGGAGTAGATACTGATGTGTGGTAATGATGACCGTGGTCATTTATAACATGCATTAAACACAGCTGTCCTAAGA